AGCCAGAGGTCCAGACCGAGGGCTGGAGGGACGATACACACAGATAATGCAGGGCCAATGTGCTCAGCACAGTGCTGGAGGTCAGATTAGGGTTCTGCATTCCTGGCCTCTTCTTATTTAAAGCTTCAACAGGTGTCAGTGTTTTTTCTCCTTTTCTTTCTTTTTTTTTGTTTTTTTAAAGACTTATTTATTTACACATACAGAACTGGGGTACAGGCCAGAGGTACAGAAGTGGTGAGAGGATTCCCCAGAGACAGAGTGGGGCGAACAGGCAGACTAACGAGGTACACTGATGAGGGGAGCAGTGGGGAGGTCAGGAGAGGTCTGTCGTGCCATGTGGGTCACCTCCAGGGCTGGGGATTGAAATCACACTGAAGTAGCTTTAGCTTCTCAGTGCTGTGCTTTAACCTGCTGCGCCACCAGGGAGGGTCCCTATCACTGAATATTTTTAAAGATTTATTTATTTATACATACAAGAACTGGGTACTGGCCAGAGGTGTTGGGTGTGAGAGGATACACCAGAGACAGAGTGGGGAGCAGAACAGGCAGATCAACTGAAATACACTGCAGAGGTAGCAGCGGGTGAAGCAGGAGAGGTCTGTAGCACCATATGTGGGGTAGGCCCTGGCTGGGGATGGAACTCGTGTTGCAATGGCTGTAAATAGCTTCATAGCTTCAGAATGCTGTGCTTTAACCCCTTGCACCACCACGGAGGCCCCTTTTTATCACTGACTTTTGATAATTTAACTATAATGTGTTTTGGTATGGCTCATTTTACATTTAGAAATGTGGGTGTTCCTTTGCTTTCTTGGACATTTATGTTTTATACCATCCTTAGGTTTAGGAAGTTCTCAGTTATTATTTCTTTAAATAGAGTCTCTGATCCCATTTTTCTTTCTTCGGCTTCTAGAATACTTATTAATCTTATGTTTCTTCTCTTACTGGAGTCTGAAAATTCTTGTAGTTTCTTCATGTTTTCTAACTCTTATTTAGGTCTCTTTTTCCACAGGGTCATTGGTACATGTGTGTCTTCAATTTCCAAAAAATACTCTTATGTTAGTTTAAGTATCTTAAATATACTTCCCGTATTTGTCCTCATTTTCATTCAATATCTCTTCTTGTTGAACAGCTATGACTACGTGCCTGTGAAATTGAATTGCAATAATCAAGAAACAACTATGAAGTCTCTAGTATTACTGTGTTATGGAAGTTAGAAAGGAAAACAACTTCTGGGTATATATTTGAAAGGAAGATCACCATTTTCATCTTTTCAAAAGATCACCCAATTGTATACCTGAGGAATGTCAGATGACTAAGAGTTTCGAAGTCCAAAGTCATGCACAAAGTGTTCTTCAGGTTTTTACCAAAGGCTATGAAACAAAAAGTGGACTCTAGGAGACTGTGAATAGACCTATGAATGAGTACAGCTCTCTTCTTGACTTTCTAAATGTTAGAATCATAATACTGTGATGTGTATTTAAACGCTTTTGAGAAACTATGACTTTGAAATAAGAACGAATATTGGTCAGACCAACAGAGCCTTCAGACTACTAGCATCATTATTACTTTGTGTTTATTTAGTGTTTTCATGCAATAAAATAGATAAGAATTTCTTATAAAAACTCCCCAGATATTGCAATTGTTTTTACGATAGTATTACTTGGTTATTAACAGCACATTGGTACAAACAGTATTTCCACTCTACAATATTTACAAAGAAACTGATCTCTTTATCACCCCTTTCATTAGTAGCAAATGTATTACAGTGTCCACCTATTTTAAAAAACAGAGAAATGATGACTTTTGAGTTCTAATTTATAAACAAAACCATATAAATATCAATAGGGACTATATTATCAATAGTGCTAAAACAACAAACTCGTAGTTTAATTTTTATGCTTCATTCTATGTTTTTATATTAATTTATGAGTTTTATATAATTGCAGTGGTGTCACACCAGTGTCATATCTTAGCCAGGTAGAGAATAGATTTCAAAGGAGTAAATAAAGAGACATACTACAATGTGCTATGCTCACCTTCTGCAAAATTTTCCATACTTTTTGATAAAATCCAACTGGGACTCTATTCAGTGCTCCATCCAATCTTCTTCTACGTTGCCACTGACCTTGACGATTATCTCTAGATATCTGTTGACCATATGCATTAAGAAAGGACCCACTACTTGGAGTTACAGAGGTTCCAGGTGACTTGGGGAAAAAGGAGAGGACAGAATAGAAATTTAAAGTTATTACTGATAAAGTATTATAGCATAGTGAATAATAAACACATTGCAGGATAAAAAAAATCATATATTAACTATAACACCTAAAATAAATTGGTTATGGTGAAGATAGTAGAATTATGAGTAGCTAGTAGTAATTTAAACTTGTAGAGTTCTTTTAGAAAGTAGTATGATATATAAGAGGAGGCAAAATATGCTGAAGTTATGAGACATTCTTAGCGACTCTTTCACTGGTCACATATGCAAACTGTTGTATGGGTATGTTTATTGCTATTATTAAACAACTAGCCTCAATACATTTTTAAGAGTTGAAACCAGACAAAGCATGTCTTCTGACAGCAAATTAAATTAGAAATCAACAGCAGAAGGAAATTTGGAAAATTTACGAATACATGGAAATTAGGCAACACAACCGTACATAAACTGCGGGTTAGAGAAAAAAATCACAAAGAAAATTAGACCACTAAGATAAATGAAAATGAAAACACAATGCATCAAAATGTATGAGATGCAGCTAAAATAGTTTTTAAAGAAAATATGTTAAAAATGCTTGTATTGGCCCTCCCTGTTGGCGCAGCGGGTTAAAGCACTGCACTGAGAAACTAAAGCCACCTCCGCATGAGTTCGATTCCCGCCTGCCCCGGAGGCGACCACATGGCGCGGCAGACCTCTCCTGACCCGCCCGCTGCTCCCCTCAGCAGTGTACTTCATCGATCTGCCTGTTCTGCTCCCCACTCTGTCTCTGGTGAATCCTCTCACCCTCCGCATCTCTGGCCTGTACCCCAGTTCTGTACAAATAAATAAATAAATCTTTAAAAAAATGCTTGTATTAAAAAAAGAGAGATCTCAAATCAATAACCAAACCTTCCATCTTAGGACAATGGAAATAAGAAGAGTAAAATAAACCAAATCAAGAAGGCAAAAATAACAATGATCAGAACAGAACAAAATAAAAAGAGAATAGAAAAAATAATACATAAAATCAGGGAACCAACATTTTTTATTTTGATGATAAATATGAGCAAAATTCATAAATCTTCAGCTAGACAAACCAGACCACTAATACATAAGGACAGATACAGAGAGGACCTCACTTCTGATCTCATAGATGTAAAGATTCTAAGCACATACCATCAGGAGCCATAAGTCAACAAATTACATAGATGAAATGAACACACTGCTAGAAAGACAATATACCCAAAATGTCTCAAGAAAAACAGAAAATCTGAATAGATCTATAATAGAGCTCACAAATGTTCTCACAAAACTTTCCACAAAGAAAAGTTTAGGCACAGGTGGCTTTCCTGGCTAATTATATCAAACATTTAAGTAAGAATTAATATCAGCTCTTTACAAACTCTACAAAAAAGGGGAAAATATTCACTTTGTGAGGCAAAAAAAAATCTATATACTAAAAGCAAAGATATCAGAAGAAAACTACAGGATACTACTGTATCCTTTATGTAAACAGATACAAAAATCCTCAACAAAATACTAGTAAACCAAATTAAGGGACATATAAAGGATTTGCACCAGGATAAAAGTAAAATTCATTCCTGAAGTTCAAGGTTGCCGTAATACCTAGACATCAATTAATGTAATATACCATATCAACAGAATAAAGAATAAAAACCATATCATTCTAACAGATGCATGGAAAGTATTTAATAAAATATTCATGATAAAAACACTCAACAAACTAAGAACAGAGAGGAAATTTTCTCAATCTAATAGAGGACATATTTAAAAATCCCACAGCTGACATAATCAATGATGTAGACTATGAGTGTTTTTCCTTCAAGAATCATAACAAGACAAGGATATTTACTCTCCCTACTTATTTTTCAACATTGTTCTGGGGGTTCCAAGCGAGGTCTATTAAGCAAGAAAAGAAATCAAAGTTACAGAGTGGAGAGAAGAAATAAAATAGTTTCTATTTGCACATGACATGATCTTGAATATAAGGGATTCACTAAAAAACAATCAGAACTCATAATGAATTCAGTCAAATTGCATAAGATCAATATATGAAATAGCAGCAATCAAAAATCTAAAAATAAAATTAAGAAAACAATCACATCAAAAAATAAAATACTTATGAATAAATTTAACAAAAGAAGTATAAATCACATACTACAAAAAATACAAAATAGTTTGAAAGAAATGAAAGACCTGAAAATTGAAAGAAATCCTATGTTCATGGATCAGAAGGCTTAACATTGTAAAGATGGCAATACTCCTAAAATTGATCTACAGAATGAATATAATCTTTATCAGAATTCCAGCTAGGTTTTCTGAAGAGATGATCCTATCATTTATATGGAAATTCAGGAGACTCCACTGGATCTTTTAAAAAGACTGAAGTTGGAGGACTCAAAATTTTCAATTTCAAAATATATAAAAAAGCCGCAGTGATCAAGACCATGACATAAGCATAGGTTAGGCATACTGATCAAAGGAATAGAAATAAAATTTCAGAAATACACTGTTGTATTTTTGTCAATTTTTAACAAGCTTCCAAGAAAATTAAATTGGGAAAAAACAGTATTTTCACTGAGTGGTATGGAACAATTTTTTATGCACATGAAAAAGAATGCAGTTGGATCCCGCACCTCACTCCATACACAAAAATTAAATCCAAATGGGTAATTGTGCAGAAAAAAGTTAATACAGCAGGTTAAACATCTTATTCTTGGAAAGCCCTGCTTACAAGGTTGCTTTTTAGGTATTTTTGGGAAAACCTGGATTTTTGGAGGTTTCCTACTCCCAGATTGGTAACAGTAGTTTGCTGTGCCTAAATTGTTAGTGCAAACACTACAGTCTTTGTTGAAAACCTGCTTTCCTTCTGGGAGTCTAGAGTTTTACTATGTGCCAGACAGGGGCCATTTATACGACTAGCCCCCAGTAAAATGTGTGGGTGCTATGTCTTTAATAAGTTTCTTAGTTGGCAGTATTTCATACATGTTGTCACCATTCACTGCAGGGGGAATTAAGTGTATGCTATCTGTGTGTTCTATTGGAAGTTTGTTTTCCTGGACTTTGCAATGTACTCATTACCTTTGCAGATTTTGCTGTGTATCTTTTTACTGTAATAATTATAGTTGTGGCCCTCCCTGGTGGCACAGCGGGTTAAAGCACTGCACTGAGAAGCTAAAGCCACTTCAGCATGAGTTCGAACCCCGCCAACCCAGAGGTGATCCACATGGCGCGGCAGACCTCTCCTGACCCGTCCGCTGCTCCCCTCAGCAGTGTACTTCATCGATCTGCCTGTTCTGCTCCCCACTCTGTCCCTAGTGAATCCTCTCACCCTCCGCATCTCTGGCCTGTACCCTAGTTCTGTATGAATAAATAAATAAATCTTTAAAAAAATAATTATAGTTGTGATAACTACTATATGCTGTTCTATAAGCCCTCCTGGTGAATCATCAAACCTGGGGGCATAACTCACAGATCTAAATGTAAGCGCTAAATCTATAAGACAAAAAAACAAAAAGTAGGACTAAATCTTTGTGACCTTAGACTAGGCAAAAACCTTTGATATGAAAGCCAAAAGGAAAAAAAAATAAATTGGACTTCATCAGAACTAAAAACTTTTATTCTTCAGATGACACTATCACAAAAGTAATATTCTCTGGAGAGAAAACAAAAAGAAAGTCAAAAAGAGCCCACAAAATGGGACACAATATTTCAATCTTAAAACTCAAAAGGGACTTATATACAGAATATCAAGAAACTTTACAACTCAACAGTAAAAGGACAAATAACCCAATTAACAAATGGACAAAGGATTTGCATGTATATTTCTTAAAGAACAGAAAAATAAAGAGGCAATATGCACATTGAAAAGATGCTCAGTTTGTTACTGAGTAATGGGCTCACTGCATGATGTGCATAAGCCAATGGTGGCAACAGCTTTGAGAGAGGAAATAAGCTGGCTGCAAGGAAGCAAGATAAAAACTCAAATTTGCCTCCCAATCTAAGCAGGGGGAGGAATTTATATTGGTTTGGGGAATGGGGTTGAAAACAAAAGAATTAAATTTTAGTGGCTAAGGAGTAGGTTAAGTGCCAATAAATGTGGACTTGGGTGAATTTCGCTGGCTAATTACAGGGCAGTACATACAAAGAGAAGTATGAAGAGGCTTTTGCAGATAACTGAAGTTTTAAATTTCTGTTGATGGGCCCCTTGCTTCTGGGTGGCTCCCTCTTATGCGTCAGCCAATGTGGTGCTCACTTCAAGGTTAGTCATGTCTTGCCATGCTCAGGCTGGGTCATTTACTGTTAAGTTTTCAGGCTCTACTGTTCGTGGAAGCAAACCTCAAAGAAAAGTTTAGGCAAGTTTTGTTTCATTTGTGCTTTAGGGTCTGAAAGCAATTTAACCCTTTAACATCAATTTTAATATTATAAGCCATTAGAGAAATGCAAATCAAAATCCACTTCACAGCCAATAAAATGGCTAGAATAGAAAAGATGGACAATAACAAGAACTGGTGAGGATATGAAGAAACTGTAAACCTCATATATTGCTGGTGGGAATGTAAAATGATGCAGCCCTTTTGGAAAACAGTTTGGTAGTTTCTCATAATGCTAAACAGAGTTAGTAAATGACCCAGAACTTGTAAATGTACATCCAAGAGAAATGAAAACATATATCCATACAAAAAATTGTACATGTAGGTTCATAGCAGTATTATTCATAATAGCCTAAAACCAGAAACAATCTAGAACTCCATAGAATGATGAATGAATAAAAAAAACATGGCTCATAAATACAATATTACTCAGCAATACAAAGGAGTGAAGTATTGATATATGCTACAACATAATGAACTTAGAAAAACTTGTACTAAGGAAGGGGTGAAATGCATGAGGGTAAGTGGTTCTGTTTAGATTCTGAAATAAGTATAAAACAGAAAGAAGAAAATTGAAATATTATCTCAAAAAAGAACTAACATTTTAAAAATAATTTATTTTAAATATTTTTATTTTTTCTGTATACAGAACTGGGGTACAGGACAGAGGTGCAGGGGCAGTGAAAGGATTCACCAGAGACAGAGTGGGGAGCAGAACTGGCAGACTGATGAAGTACACTGCTGAGGGGAGCAGCGGACAAGACAGGAGGGTCACTTCCCTGGCCGGTGATTGAAATGGTGCTGAAGGGGCTGCAGCTAGCTTCATATTGCTGTGCCTTAACCTTATGCACCACCAGAAAGTGCCCAAGAACTTCTAACATTTTAATTTGGATCAAATACCTAAGTCACCAACAACTGCTATGTAAAAGAAAAAAAGTTGGCCACTGGCTATTCCACTGATCTACTAAGTAGATAAGCTGTCATTTCATTTATTTTCATTGCCTGTTTACCAGCAAGATACTAGGCTATTGATAATGGGGTCAAACCACAACATTTGAGTTTTTAGATTAACTTATCTTCTACACCCCGGTCAACAATGGTCAAGTTTTATTATACTAGCTCATTATATGGTATTTTTGGTGTACATCAACAGAAACACTAGTATTGTTTCCAGTAAGTTTTCCATTTTTGTTTGTCATCTGGCCTAAATCTTTTTAGCTTGAGAGATCTGCAACCATAAGTCAATATTAATCATTAATTTATAGCAAGGAGGTTTATTCAGACAACAGTCTTTCTAAACGATAAACTCCATGAGGGCAAGGGCCATATCTATTTTGTTCACTATTATATTTCTAGTGCTTGGCACAAAATTAGCATTCAATTAATATTTCCTAATGAATTAATAACAAAAAATAGCTAACACAATGGTTTGCAAACTTAAAGCCTATCAGAATCATCTAGAGGGCTTATTAAAACAGATTGCTGGGCCACATTCACAGTATTTTTGATTCAGTAGGCCTAAGATGGGGACCAGGAATTTACATTTTAAAGAAGTTCCCAGCCTGGTACATAGTAGGTATGAAATAAATTATACTAGCTAAAAGAACCAATGAATAAATGCTTTACAAACGCTTACTAAACTGAATTTTGTTTTCTAAAATAGGGAAGAGGCTAGAGTAAAACCCTCTTCTCTACTTTTTTTGGGGGGGAAAAGAAATGGAAAGATTTCACATACATAAAGTTTATCTATGCTTATTTTACTTTTAAATTCACTTTGTTCTTGTATTCAGAGTATGTCATGAGTTATATAACACATTTTTTTTTCATCTAGAACTATTTTTTTTATTAAAAAGTTTATTTTTACATCATTTTGCACATTTTTTTTTCATCTCAATTGTAATCCCCACGGGTTTCCCACCACCAAATCACCCCTGTGCCACCACCATAGTCCCGTGCATTTCCCTCCCCCGCCCCCCCGTTTTTGATCCCATTCCCCACTCCACCCCCACAGAATGTCTCTTGTCTATGGTTGTTCATTATTTTTGTTATTTTCTCGCCTGGTCCATTATACTCCTGCTATGAGTGAAACCATCTGGTATTTTTCTTTCTCTTTCTGGCTTATCTCACTAAGCATGATCTTTTCCAGCTCCATCCAAGTTGCTGCAAAAGACATGTGTTTCTCTTTTTTGGTTGCTGAGTAATATTCCATTGTATATATGTACCACATCTTTCTAATCCAGTCATCTACTTTTGGGCATTTGGGCTGCTTCCATGTATATAACACATTTTTTTAAAAGCACCTATGAATGGTATACACTACAAAACAACAGCAAGTTGCCAGAAAAGGTAACATCAAATCTATGCCCAGGGGATGACTACCACTGTGTTATAAACAGCACCTGAGAAAATAAAATTCTAAAAGGGATGAGGTAATCATTCTTTATGTTTTTTTTGAGTTTCAGTAAAATTACAGAGCATTCAAGTAACTAGTTAACATGTTGTTATCATTTTAAAAGCTAATGCAATATCCTTATACTAGAAATCATGGTAAAAGAGAAAATAAACTACCTTAAAAATATCCTTTTCGGGCCCTCCCTGATAGCACAGCAAATTAAAGCGCAGCACTAAGAAGCTAAAGCCACTTCAGCATGAGTTCAATCCCCACCTTGGAGGTGACCCACATGGCGCAGCAGACCTCTCTTGACGGCCTCCTGCTGTCCCACTCAGCAGTGTACTTCGTTGATCTGCCTGTTTTGCTCCCCCCTCTGCCTCTGGTGAAGCCTGTCACAGTACCTGCGCTTCTAGCCTGTACCCCAGTTCTGTATACATAAATAAATAAGTCTTTAAAAAAATTATTTTCATAATCAGAAAAAAGGGAGTTGGTGAGGGATTGAGATATAGAAAAATAAAAATTACCAGATAGGCAGGTGAGGATGTAAATTAATATTTGGAAATAAGAATGTAATGAAAATTTAGGGCTCTCAGTGTTCTCATTTATAAAATGTGGTTCTCTTGAAGAACTATAGGTAGTGAATGTATAAAAATATTATATAATATACCTTGGTTTATTATTGGCCAAGTCCTTGATAACATATTAATCTAGTTTGGAACATGGATTTCAAGTTCTAAATATATAATGAACTTGTAAGTAGGGCCATCTGTCTATAAAAAATATATAAAATGTTTAACCAATCACTCTCAGCCAAAACAAGGATTGTTTGCCAAACAACATCATTTTAACTTTTCAATGTGAAATGTAGTGTTTTCACCTTTTAAACATGAAACTGTTCAGATTATCAAAATTATCTGGGAAAAAAGTGAACATTTTTCTATCACAAGGCTCTTGTGATAGAGGGTATTTGATAAATGTATTGAAATTAAGTTTACTTCAAATTAAACTCCAAGCATTGGCTCATTCCCTACCTAAATTATTTCTAATTCCTAAAAAGAAATCAAATAAATGACATTTCTCTTCTGCTTTTCTAGACATACTTTTAAAATTAAAGCAGCATATTTATTTATAATTGGAAAGACATGGAAACAACCCAAATGCCTAAAAGTAGATGACTGGATTAAAAAGATGTGGTACATATACACAATGGAATATTACTCAGCAGCAACATGGATGGAGCTGGAAAAGATCATGCTCAGTGAAATAAGCCAGAAAGAAAAGGAAAAAATATAAAGGGTTTCACTCATAGCAGGAGTTTAAAGGTCCAGGGGAGAATGGGATCAAAAATAGTGGGGGGAGGGAAGTGCACAGACCTATGGTGATGGCACATGGGTGACTTGGTGATGGGAAACCCACAGGGATTACAACTGAGATGTAAAAAGGCACAAAATGATGTAAAAATAAACATATTATTTTTTAAAAATTAAAGCAGCATGAAACTATGGAAATTTGTGTTAACTATTTTTTTTCTATAATGTAATAACTCACATATTCTCATTTTCAAGGAAAAATGAGTAAGAGGCTACAATATGATATATAGTGACTTCAACCACCTCCCATGCTGGTAAAGATGTTTCTTGTCTATATGTCTATAACAGCTTTCATATACTCTATCATAAAAATAAAAATATAATTTTTAGACAATGCATGAAAATCGACTTTTAAAAAGTGCTGCGTTCAGTATGGTGTTCTCTCCTAGTACTTGTTCTTAAAACAAAGAATTCCAAGTCTAGTTTTGTAAAGAATATCAATTTCAAAATAATATGTTAGTCCTAACAGTAGGAACTCAGAGTTTCAATATCTTGCTATAGATATGTTACTTTTGTCTATGGCCATACCACCCTGAATGTGCCCAATCTCGTCTTATCTCAGAAACTAAGCAGGTTCAGGCCTGGTTAGTACTTGGATGGAAGAACTATGTTATTTTCTTCCCCAAATTAACATACTTTTGTTCAGAAAAAGGAAAACTATCTACAAAATAACTGCTACAGAGGAGAGTCAAACAAGCTACTTGTGGCTTGTTATTTTAATTGTGAAAAGGTCATGAGCTCATGCATGTTATATAGAACTAAGGGCAGGTTAACTACGTTAAAGGATCCTTATTTGTTTCACCTGAATCTCAGTTGAGACAGAGAGTCTACGAAATTCCACCTGAAAAATAAATGGCTCAAATCAAAACTCATGTTATGAGACAACATATGTGATCCCAACAGTCTGATTCTAAAAGACTATTCTCAAGCATAACGATATTCCAGTTAACCTAAGTAGTATCTTACCTGCTTTATCTCACTTTTTAATTGCATGATCCCAGTTCTTTCTGTTTTGGTTGCTCCAACAGCACCAATCTCATGGATAGATATAGCAGGGCTGATATTTGAATCAGTGGGACGAACTATATAGCATGACAGATGAGAGTATAATTAAGTTAAAGTATTTTCTCAACCACGATTAAATGGCTTAAATGTCCTTTTCAAATTTCAGGTGATCGCATTCATATGTGAAATATAAACAAACAAAAGGAACGGACAAAAACAAAACACTGACTGCAGAACTGAGGCTACCAGTTCCGGAGAACTGGGATAAAGGATGGAAGCAAAGTGGAGAGAGGGCCCAATGGACAATGGTGGAGAATTTGGGGGGCTTTGGTGGTGTGTGTGGTCTGATAACATACATTTGTAGAGGTATGAACTTATATTACCTAAAATATATACAGTTTTGCAAACCATTACCTGAATAAATATAATACAAATACTATGTTCTTTAAATTTTTAGTTAATTAAAAAAAACCCTGACCAACTATAAATTTGTTATTCAAAGTGTGGTCCATAGAGCAGCTGTATTAGCATCATTTAGGACCTTGTTAAATATCTCAGACCACACTCCACACCTACTGAATCAGAGCCTGCATTTTAGCAGGATCCTTAGGTGATTCTTATGCACACCAAGGCACGAGAGGCACTACTTTATACCTTTCTTTTATCACTCTAAAATTTGGTATCCATCCACTTGACATTGCATATTTATTTATTGTAAACCTAAAAAATGAAAACAAGAGATGACTCTTCATTTGTTCAGATATTTGTCCACATACCAAATACCACTGCCAAATCACAAGTGCAGGATGAAGATTAATTTGTGATGAGACTCCTACATGTATCTGAAGTTTAAGGTAAAAGGATATATCAGGTATATTATAGTTACACAAACATACCCAAGCACAAGGGCACACACAGTTATTCCCCACTGTAAGTGCTACTGAATTAGTGTCAATTGGAATACAAGGAAGTTTCAGCTGATATGGGTTGTTGTCAGCTGTCCTATAGTAGAGATTTTGGATAATAAGCGGAAATAGATAAAATTGTCCAAAATTAAATGTAATTATCTTTTTAGTTGATGTATCATTTAAGGGGTAAAATGAGACATAAAGTAGTTTCCAAGTCTTGTTCCAGAAGAAATCTTTGCTTTTTACTGTTTCCTATATTGGAAAGCTATTATTATTTTGGGGGAAATGTACCTCTGATTAAAAAAAAAAATATTTAAAACCCAAGACACTTAAATACTGTGAGATGGAAACATGGCTATTTAAACTTACCACTTCGTTCCACTCCAAACTCCTTGCCACTGAGAATATGATGCAGGAGGTTCTTCATGGCTGACGGACTTAGATTCATCAGGCCTTCTGTGGCTTCCTCAGCTAGTCAGCAGAAATATTAGGACAAAGGGATTTCTAATTAGCCTCCCATACCTGCCCTAGTTTTCCCTCTATTTCTTTTCTTACTTAGAATTTAAGCTGCTTGGTTAGAATAACACATTTATAAAAGAAATTTGTAGGACTGTGCTTCTTAAGTCTTCACACTGCCATATTTTATTTTTTTTAAAGATTTATTTATTTATTCATATAGAACTGGGTACAGGCCAGAGATGTGGAAGGTGAGAGGATTCGCCAGAGACAGAGTGGGGAGCAGAACAGGCAGATCGACGAGGTACACTGCTGAGGGGAGCAGCGGGCGGGTCAGGAGACGTCTGCCACGCCATGTGGATCTCCCCCGGGGCAGGCGGGAATCAAACTCATGCGGAAGTGGCTTTAGCTTCTTAGTACTCTGCTTTAACCCGCTGCGCCACCAGGGAGGGCCCTGCCATACTTTATTTTTAATGTTATCTTAATACTATAAAGACTGGCTATCCAGTTTATGTATTAACCAAGTCCTTGATTTCTTCTCTCCGCTCCCATCCCATTCCATATCATTTGGGTATGCAGTGGAATCTTTGTATAAAGGTGTGAAGAATAAGTGGAGAACAACAGAACTGGAAGTCAGTCAGAGAAAGAATGAATATAGTATACATAGATAGATTAAAATAATAAAAACTCCTCGGTCTGAAGTGAAAACATAGAAAATATTACATATGAATCCATGAAATTATGAATAAAGAGGAGATAATGAACTTTTTCATCAACTTCAGATACTTAAAGATACTATAAATACTACACATGTAAGCCATAATTTCAAGCAATGTGAGTACAAACAGATTTGACATACTTGTCCTTGAAAGGCTGGACATGTAAACAAGATAAATAACAATAAAACATGACTGAAAGGGTGCAATGTTAGAGTTGTAGACAATAAAATCTTTGGAAATCACAGGGGATATCAATCTTCAAGGATGGGGATTGGTAAAATTAGTGGGAAGTACTGTTGAAATAGAAGATAGAAACCAGACTGTTGAAGCCTTGAATATAATACCAAGGGATTTTGAGTGTATATTATAAGAAATAAAGACTCGGTGGTTTTGATGGACACACAGGCAAAAAATAAAAAAGAGCCTTAATAGGGAATTAAGAAAAAGTAAGGAATATTTGGGTGTTTATCCCACATTGATATTGATTATTGAATAATCAGAACCTCTCATAGACATTCTTGAATCCTACAGATAGAGACTATACACACATACACACAAATATACATGTATATACACATGTTCTCTCCATACATGCAATATATATAGATATAACATGTATTACATGTAATCTATAACAAATGCTGAAGTAGAAATCATTTGGAATCCGGCAGACCTGGAATTGAGTTCTACTATTTACTAGCAGTGTAACTTAGAGAAAGTTATTTAACTTACAGGAGTTTCAGTTACCTTATCAATAAAAGTGGAACAACAAGAATACCCAATATAAATACTCCCAAGCAGATAACAGGATCAAGAAGATATGGTATATACACACAAAGGAAACTACTCAGGATAAAAACAATAACCTCTCACCATTTGAAGTAACATGGATGAAGCTGGGAGGGATTATGCTAAGTTAAGTAAGGAAAAAGACAACTATTGGATGTTTTCACTTACATGTGGAATATAGAAAAGAGAGCTAAACTGTCAAGAAAAAGACAAAACTTGCAAACGGACCATAGATCTAAGGCATAAAGCAGGGAAGGGGAAGGAGGAGGAGTCAAAACAGGGGAAGGAAGAGCATAGGGAAGTGGTGATGGATGGTCAGTAGGCACTATGGGGACTACATCTGAGGTGAGAAACCAAATATGGTAAAAAATGAATAACAACTTAAGGGGAAAAAAAGTACTAAAAGGAAAATAAAACAATGAAGAATACCTTCTCCAGAGGTAGGTACAATGGTGGCAGGAGAACTATGGGGACTACACCTGAGGCGAGAAACCAAATATGGTAAAAAATGAACAATAATTTAAGGGGAAAAAAGTACTAAAGGAAAATAAAACAAACGAGAATACCTTCTCCAGAGGCTTATTGTAAACATTAAATAACATGTAAATACTAAAGAAAATAATTTATCTGGCATATGATAGGTATTAAAATGATTATTAATATTTTCCTTCAAAGGATTATTTAATATAAATGATCATGTGATTTAGAGTATACTCAAATCAATAAATGTAGCTACTTAATAAATCACTTAAAAGCTCTTTGGGAAAATTTAATTGAAACAATATTTAGGACTGAGTTTTGCAACTTTGATTTTATTTTTCTATGCAATCTCTATTTCACTAATTTACCCATTCTTACAGAAATAAAACAAATACCAATGGAGAAAATAGTTATGGGGGGGGAGGAAGCCCCTCCCCCAATACTTTATATAATTCTACACTACAGTTTTCATAGGTTCCAGCTATTCTTCTAATTAAAATTTCTGTCTTGCCAAATATACCTTACAGTTAATTTCAACGGCAGTTCAATTAAATAATATTAATCGAAAAACACTATCCTGTCAGATAATATAAATAACAGAAACCTGACAGTGTCAGCACAGGGGTTTGGGGGCAGAAACCTCAGGAGACCTATATAGAACTGTGAAGAGCCCTCAGTCAGAGGTGAGGTGAAAATTTCATGTGACCCAGGCCCCACACCCATCTGCAATCTGCAGCAGAGAGTGCTTCCCGCTGCCACCACTGCTGCTGCTCTCCCCCAGGAATGCAGATAATAGACACTGGATGTCATAGTGGAGAAAAGAGATTTTGGGGCTGAGACCTTAGCAGACCTGCGCAGAACTGAGGAAATGCGGATCCCACAGTCAGAGGTGAAGTGAAAAGTACATGTGACCAAGGCCCACATTCATTTGTGCCTGGAGAAGAGAGCTCTTCCTGCAAACCAGTCAGAAGTGAGCCCAGCACCCTTCTATAAGTTGGAGCAGAGATGTTGTTCTGCTGCCAAGGCCAACTACATGCATCAGGAAAACAAACAGCTGGCACCATTGTGGCAAGATAGGGAGTACATCCCTGAAGGAACACCCCCAACGAGAGGCCTGCCAGTACCAGTGTCACAATGTCCCAACACATAGAACACATTAGGAAACAAACCTCAGGGAAAAGGAAAAATACAACCAAGCAAGCCCTCAGGGGAAGGACACTCCACAAAAAAGAAATCTGTTACCAGATCTCAACAACGATGATATGAAAGAATCCCTCTGTCTACCTAATAGAAAATTTGAAATCATCATCATTATAAAATTGAAAGAAGACAAAAAGGAATGATATGAAAAAAAAAATAATGATCAGAAGAATGAAATAGAGTCCCTAAAGAGGGAAAGAAATGGAGGAGATCAAAAAATCAATGGAGAAGCTAGAGAATTCTGGGGAAAGTAACAGACACAGAATCGATACAATAGAAGAATGGATCAGTGCTCTTGAAGATACAGAAGTAAAAAGAACCAAAAGAAAAAAGGAAATGGAAGTACAAAAGAAAAGGAATTAAGAAACACTTAGACAATTATCAGACAACATAAGGAGAGGAATTATAAGACTAACAGCAATTCCAGAAGGTGAGGAGAAAGAAAAAGCAAATGAGAAATTACTCAAGGAGGTAATTGAACAGAACTTCCTGAGCATGAAAAAAGAGATGAATATAGACATAAAAGAAGCAAGAAGAACATCAAATTTCCATAATGAAAAGAAAACTACAGCAAGACACATAATAGAGTCCCATACAAGGAAAAAATAATTAAACTGACAAGGGGGAAGAAAGAGTTAACTTATAAAGGAAAGCCAATTTAGGATGACATCAGATCTCTCTGAAAAAATATTAAAAGCAAGAAGAGAATGGAGTAACACATTCAACAAACTTCAGGATAGCAAATGTTAACCAAGGATACTACACCCTGCAAAGCTCTCCTTCTATAAAGAAAAAAATAAGGACTTTTGCAGACAAATGTAAACTCCAGAAATTCATTATGATTAAACCCACACTTTTTTTTTTTTAACAAGATATCCTAAAGCCAAAACCAACAGAAGAATGAACAAGAACAGAATAAAGCAAGGAATAAAATCACAAGAAGACAAGCAAAATGTCAAGTGCAGATGCCAACACATGAATACTAAGTGAAAAAGAAAAATATCAGATGGTCTCACTTATAGGAGGAATACAGGGGAACAAAATAAGGTGCATGGGGGAAAATAACAACAATACAAAACAAAACAAAAACAAACAATTATAAACCAGCAATATCCTGCAGGGGAGGGGGAAGGAGCGGAGTAAAATGTAGTGAGGGAGAAGCACAAGACACTGTGGTGATAGTACACGGGTGAATTGGGAGAGGAAATTCTATGGGGCCTACACCTAAGAGGGGAGAAGTAAACATTGTATTAAAATGGAAGGAATAAAATAAAATAAACACAGATAATTCTAAAAAATATATGGTCTTCATTTACTTGATCCTGATGTTGAATACTGACAGGATACAAACATTATGATCAAATTAATGCAGTGACTCAAATTGGTGTCCATGAAATCAGAATCTAACCCAGCCAGTCACATTCAAGTTCAGTGCATATTCTGAATTACTCCGGGAATTAGGAGGAACATGATTTGGAGTACAAAGTCCCCAAGAGGTAGTTTTGAAGTTGCAGAACTAATATATAAATTGGTAATGATACAGCCCTTAGCCTTATATAAATATTGACTAATATGGGAACAATATTCCTATGTACAGCTTCTGAGTTGTTGATTAAGAAAACGTTTTGGGGGCCCTCCCTGGTGGCGCATCCAGTTAAAGCACAGCACTAAGAAGCTAAAGCCTCTTCAGCAAGAGTTCGATCCCTGCCTGCCAGGGAGGTGACCCACATGGCGCGGCAGACCTCTCCTGACCTGCCCACTGCTCCCCTCAGCAGTGTACTTCGTCAGTCTGCCTGTTCTGTTCCCCACTCTGTCTCTGTGAATCCTCTCACCACCCCTGCACCTCTGGCCTGTACCACAGCTCTGTATGCATAAATAAATAAATCTTAAAAAAAAAGTTTTGGTTTTCTTTCTCTACTGACCCAAAACTCAGTAAGACCTACATTAAAAGTGAATTCTGCCTGAAACTGTTATTAAATTCATACCTGAGCATCGAAGGGAGTGGGCTAGTTCTGTTGCCATAACTTGTATGATCAGACCAATTCGAAGTCGAAACATTTCAGCAAAGAGGCCAGGCTGAGTTCGCATATACATGGCTAGATACACCATTATTTCCTGTGTATGGAATAAATGCAAACAAAAATTATAGCCAAGGTCTCAAAAGGCCTACTTTGTTATTTTCAGAAATGATCAGATCAATTAAAAACAAACTTGAAAATATCAACCATGAGAATCCACTCACCTGTGTAAGGATTGAAATACTCATGTCCCCTTCACTGGCTTCATCTATCAGCTGAGTGAGCTCTTCATAAGGCATAGGTCTGAGGAAGAAGCCAGTAAAGAAAGACAAAATTCTCAAACTACTTAAGCCTAAATATATTGAAAGAATAGTTCAAGTTTTCATCATTACCAGTAACATTCTGGCATTTCTGGTCTTGAAAGTTCAGGCTCCCTCAAACCACTCTGGTTCATAACAACTCATCCTGTGATGTTCTTCCAGACTAATCTTTCATGGTTATTTTTAGATACTTGACAAGTAAATTATTATGGCTAGAAAAAAACTAATTTTAAGTTGTACCTTTTAGAGACCACCTTACTACTTTTACAAGATAATATTATATTGATTTTTCTATAGTTTCTTTACATACACACATACAAACACAGACATGGGTATGTATACTTTCTAAATTTCTAATGTTCCTGTTGGTATTAAGCTCTGGGGGCATGAACCATGCCATTTTCTTTTGGATTGCCACAGTAGTCACAAATTTCATCTGATTTGTGATAAAAGTTATTTTTTCAGGAGAATGGAGTTACAGGTTCAATTATTTCCCTGCAAAGTTCATAAGGTGAAATCCTAATTCCTAGTATCTTAGAGTGTGACCTTATTTGGAGATGGGGATTTCTACAGAGGTAATTAATTAGCTTAAAATGAGGTGATTAATGTACACTTTGTTAAAATAGCCTCAGCAAACTAGTACACATGGTTAGGGCTATCTTCCAGAAGAAAAAAAAAACTGGCATTTTATAGGTTCCATGGCAAACACATGGAGTCTAAAACACATGGTCCTGGCACATTCTCTCAGAGTCTTCATAAAGGAGATTGACCTAGATCTCAGAGGCAATAGAAATCATGGACAAAACTAGGATGAAGTGTTACTCAGACACAGCAAATATATCCTTGCTTACTGCTTCTTCACTTTTTTCCATTAAGTTAATATATTTAGAACATCTTTTGTTTGCGGAATAAACATTTCTTATACTCTTTCCTCCTCATTTTGTGGTGACAATTCATGGATGACTTGGTAGTGGGAATTTTATGGGGATTAAACTTGAGAGGAAAAAATCAAACATTGTATAAAATGAACAATGATGTAAAATAACATGTAAAAATTAAAAAAAAATAAAATCTATGCAAACCAAAAAAAGAAAAATAAATATTTCATTACAGTGGTTACAGAAGTGTAATTAGTAAACAGGGGATATATCTTAATTTAAAATACTCCCTAGTAGAACAACAAATTTTTCAGGTCACTTAATGAATGAAGTTAGAATCCATCCAGATGTAGCCTGCCTGCAAATTTAAACTTTGGTATTGGCATGATATGAAATTAAACGATTTAGTGTTGATTAGTGTTATTGGCTACGTTTGGTGGCCAAAGGAAGACTCATCAGTAAAAATTAAAATTTCCATCACAGACTGTTGTCCAACAATATCCCATGCCCTTCAGTCCATGCCTATTCTAGGATACTGTTTACAGCAGGAAGCAGCAGACGACTGAGATAGTGACAACTGATAACAGTATTCTTGGGAAGACTTGCTCTGCAAATATCCATTTTTTCCCTTTCATTGTGACCTCCAACCCCTTTATTACTTTTTCAGCAGCATGGAGATTCATTATCAGCCCTGAGCTTTCACCAGACACTTTCTTCTGACCTCCTCTTTCCAGGATATAGCTGATTTTTTTTTGGGTGCTAATCCAATTGTCCTGTTTATTTTGTTTTTTGAAAGGTTTGAGAAAACTAATAACTAAAAAATAAAAACGTTCGAGTACTACTCCTTGTGAATTTTAGCTTTCATTTATACATGCCCTGCCATTCTCGACATTCTGAAGTCTTCAGTGTCTTTGACGAAAGTGCATACATGTAGGATGTGATCATCCATTGACAGGTTAAGGCATGAGAACTGTGGACAGTTCATATAGCTCCTAACTATAATAAAGTAAAAATCAAAATCATCAAGCAGCTATATATCAGAGACATTCTGCAGGGGAGGGGGAGGGAGAGGGATCAGAGCAGGGGTGGGAAGAGCACAAGAGACTATAGTGATGGCGCACAGGTGAATTGGTGGTGGGAATTTCATGGGGAAATCATACATTGTACAAAAACGAAGGATGATATAATGAATATACTTTAAAAAAAAGAAAAAAATGCAGAGAAGTTTGGTCAAGTTCAAACAAACAAACATACGCAGAAATGGTCTTTTCCCGAGGTTCTGGAGGGAGTCCAACTGTCAAGTGTTTCTGGTGAGAGAGGAGGTCTGTACAGGCCTACAAAGGGATAGCAGAATACCATTAGCCTCCTGTAGCAACTCAGATCTCCACGAAAATTATGATTTTCAGTTTAGAAATCTTTGCTCACATTTAATGACATATCAAGCTCTTTCCCAGGAAATACTATGAAGAAACAGAATTCCCAGAGTTTATAACATCTCTGTAAGTATACAATTCATATCATATAAATTCTGTAATTCATATTGTAACTTCAGTATTCTGTATTTGCCATTCACAAACAAAAATCTAACTGCATATCAGAAATTTTATATGGGAAAAGAAACATCCCAAATAATTACAGGCTGTGGTTGCTTTACAAAGTAACTATGGAAACCAATTTTTAAAGCAACTACCATGTGATTTTGATATAAATTCAAGAATAATTTGTAGTACCTCATCAAGTGCTTCCACCTTTTTCCTTAAGATTCCAGAAATGTATCGGATCAGGCCCCAGTGACGAATTTTTCCAACTTTGCCATACAGTTCAGTAAGTAGCTCTCTGACAGTCGTGCCCCCTTCATCATACAATCCGGTGTCCCAGTCAGGTCCTCTGGAGTATTAAAGACAAGACAGAACATTAATTATAAGTAAAGAAGCCAGCAACAATTTTCTTTTTGTTTCAGAGTTATAACAGATAGGACTCTTTTTGATAGGTCTCTTTCATTAGAAAACTAATACTATTTACTAAGAATCTTTGTAAAACTATGATTAATAATCATAATCAGCCCTGAAAGCCAAACACCTAGACAAAAATAAATCATAGTCTCATCTGTGTTTTGACATAATACATTCTTTGACATTGTTTACAGTGTTTAACACCGCTGAAACTAAAGTCAAAGTATACTATGTTTAGGGAATTAGCAAAGAAATAAGAGGGCTATATGGGTGAACTACTAGTGCAGGAAAAGCACATCCCTGTTGCAAGTCAGGGAGTTGCAGGTTGGAGACCCCACAAAACTTTTGTGGAACAGAGAGAGGGCAAGTTCTACAGATGGAGGTGAACTGAAAAGTGCAAGTAGCCAGGCTTTGCACCTTTCCATGATCTGGAGCTCAGAAGGGATCCACTGCCGAGGTGAACTGTGGGCACCGGGGAAGCTCACCCCTGGCGCCATCACTGCAAATCGGGGACCCCATGACATCTGTGTACTTTTTGTACATGTGTAGCATTATAAGTCTTAATATCCAAAACAAATTTAGGGAAGGAGGCTAATTATACTTTGTTAGGGTTATGACAACATTAATAAATGAGGAAGAACAGATTATTTTTGTGAGACGATGTGGGGGTCAGGAGAAAGGAGTTCAATATTTAGTTTAAGGTACACAGATGCAATGTACTTAGCAGAATTCCTGACATACATATAGCAAACACTCAAAAATGCTAGTTTCTTTTTCTTATAAGCCTTCATAGTTTTCCTGTGAATTAGGAATTTGTTTATTGGTAGATCTACAAAAATGATGGAAGCTTAATAATATATACAAGAATAACAATAGTGGTCAGTTATTAATACCTACTATGTACCAGGCATTATATCAGAGACTTTGCAGACATGGTATCTTGTTTATCTTTAAAACAATTCTATGAGGTAGGCATAATCCAAATTTTATAGGTGAGGACATTTGAGGCTTGGAAGTTACAGAGTAGGTAGACGGAAAAATGCTATTCAAGTCCAGATCAGTGAAACTCCAAAGCTATGCTTATATTTACTATATTATATAATTCTTCTCTATATGAATATTAAAGTGGATTGCCAACATCACTCACTTACTTCATAGTATATAGCATATAGAGGATATCAGCTTGCTCCTGTAAGCTTGAAGTCTCATTCAACTGTAAGACCAGTGCTTTGAAGTCCACCTCTCCAGACTGGTCTCTAGGAAGATGTATTTCTACACGAACAGAGGGAACCTTTAGTTTGAGAAAAGACAAAAAAAAATAACCTTATAAGTGCTCAACTTAATGAGTGTTGATCTTTTCACCACTAGGCCTTTTTCATAAGAATTCCCTATATTGACTAAAGCAAAGCAAAAAACAATGAAACCTTCAAAACATGTGTACAGAAATCTAGCTTTCCTAAAGCTTAGATAAACACATGTTCACTTCAAAAGTGAACTAAAAAGGACATGTATCTTCACCAGGGTGGCAGTTTTCCATTACCAACAGAAGCCATAATGGCTAATTTTATTATTTTCCATATGAATAGAAGTTCTTCATGTACAAGTAGTAGAAGCTAATAGATGTACCTCATGAACAAGTTTACCTGGTCCTCTCGTCGGGGATGAGGTGAGTCAAGCAAGTTGAATGAGGGCCTGGATGCCTGAAATATCTTTGTAGGTAGATACATGTGAACATCTGCAAGAGATTGATATTTACAGGAAAAGACAGATAATTAAGAGGTGAGTAAAAATATATAATGAACCTCAACAATGAAGCTACATATGGGTGTGCTTTTTATAGAACAAGAATAAGAAAAGAAATATGAATATCAGCTAATTTAAAAATGCCTAAATAATCAATAAGCGAACATTGAATGGAATGTCTAGAACTATAGCATCAGCAAAAGACATACAAGATAATAAATTCTGCTAAAGTAATCAATACCATAGTGGTGCCAATACTGATATTTTGCTAGAACACCACATATAATGGAAAGAACTCAGCTATGTTTTATTCTTTATGGATGTTCCTATGAAAATATCTGGTTTCTGGCAGTTGAATTTCTATCTAGGGGATCAAAAATGTAGTTGGCTTATCAAGTTTAAGGTACCCTTATGGTTTGCATTTACAATCCATTGTTGAAATGCTATAACACTAAGGAGAGACTATTATTTTCACCATTTAAAAAATTTAGAAAAAGAGGGCCCTCCCTGGTGGTGCACCAGTTAAAGCACAGAACTAAGAAGCTAAAGCCACTTTCGCATGAGTTTGATCCTGCCCCGAGGTGATCCACATGACATGGCAGACCTCTTTTGTCTCACCCGCTGCTCCCCTCAGCAGTGTACTTCTCAGTCTGCCTGTTTTGCTCCCCACTCTGTCTCTGGTGAGTCCTCTCACTTCCTCTGCACCTCTGGCCTGCACCCCAGTTCTGTATGCATAAATAATTATTTAAAAAACCAACATTGCAGGTTGGTTGCAGGGCAGCTTGGAACTAGTCTAGCTATTCCCATCTGTGAGGTAAGGCCTAGTTTCACATGGGGACAGTGTACACCAAAAGAGTTAAAAACAATGGGCAACTCTAATCACAGTAGTGAGCTGCAAGGTTAGTGAGGAGGAGAGGGGAAGCGAAAAAAAGGAATATTTTAGTTATTTCACAATCTGCTCCAGCAAACAATGGTTGGCTTCAATGTCCACAACACAGTAGGCTGTTTTAGCTCTTGTGGGGTTAGAGAGGAAAGGTTGTGATCATTACACAATATCATAGCTCTACAATTGAGAAGAAAATGGCCATTAACCAAGATCCACCTATTCTTCATCTTTCTTAAGATAATATTAGGGTCTCTAAAACGGTTTGGAATTATAGGACAGGTGGAGTAAGCATTTCACAATTGGCGCATGTGCATGTGATGCTAGTGGTGGAGGAGAGGGAAAGGGTTCTTCAGATTTCACTTGTATGAAGAGATTTTTGTGGGAAAGGGCAAAAAATCTTCCACTAAACATTGAACTTGGTTAAAAACAGATTCTACACATAGCAGTTACAATGACTAATGAGAAAACAACTGTCATGTTGCATTGGTGTTGAAAATACTGACCACACAATGGTCTCTTTAGTCACCTGATTCCTCTATTCACCAAATATTCACTGGGCACTGTATAGCAGGATGGTGCTGGTGTTTCAGTGGTAAGGAAGACAGATATGGTCCCTATCATTTTGGGCTCCCTCTCCTTCTCTAACACTATCTTTATATTATCCACAATGGATAATATGAACAAAAATTATATATATATCCTGTGGATGCTTAACATTCCAGATTTTCAATGAACATTTGCAAGTTTGTAGGTGGAAAACCATAGTGATTGGCTTATACTAAAGTAGAATATGTGAGTCATGCTGCACCATTTGGTTTTTAATCCTCTTTGATGATCTTTGCATCTTTCTGTGTTCTCACATGACTAATGAGAACTAGCAAAGTTGCCAGAATGGAACTCACATTCACTGATCTCCTAATGACAAATATTATAACCTTGAATATATTCTAGACACTTGAGTGGAGAGTAATGAAGAATACGGAGAGAAATGGAAGGACTGGCATGGAAGAACTGGCAAGACTACTGATGAATAAACCCATGTCGGAAAATGACTCAGAATAAATAATCAAATTCAGTAACAGAGATCATTAAAAAGTTGTATTTTAAAAGTTATCCAAGAGACAGATGAAAATCACAACTACCTATGCACTAGCATATAACTAAGTACATAATCATTCCTGTGTGATTTTCAAAATATTTCAGCTTTTATCAAATAAGTTTGGTTAGTATAGATAACAGTAAATAAGCATATTTAACATTCATTTCCAACAAAGAAATTCACACTATATCTTATAAAAATACAGAGACAGGGCCCTCTCTGGTGGCACAGTGGGTTAAGGTGTAGCACTGCAAGTGAACCGCAGACGCTTCAGTGCAAGTTTGACCCTTGGCCCCGGAGGTGACCCACATGGCACAGCAGACCTCTCCTGTCTCGCCCGCTGCTCCCCTCAGCAGTGTACTTTGTCAGTCTGCCTGTTCTGCTCCCCATTCTGTCTCTGGTGAATCCTCTCACTGCCCCTGTGCCTCTGGCCTGTACCCCAGCTCTGTATGCATAAATAAATATTTAAAAAAAATAAATATCGCTTCTCGGCCTTTTGGCTAAGATCAAGTGTAAAAATATACAGTAAGAATCAAATGGCTGTATGGTAAGTAAATTCTAAGCTTAAACAAGAAAATAGTCCTTCTGACTGCTAATGTGTTTATTGTAAATGAGATTATGTACAATATCACCCAGGAAAAATAATTTCTTATCCTTTGTCTCTTTTACTTGAACAGAATGAAGTATCCTTAAGCAAACATTCTTTGTTTATGTTATATGCACATATATATGGAACTCATATTCGCTTAGAAACAGGCTTGGCCTACATAAAGTACATAATAAATACCTGTTGGACACTGAACAAATTAGGAACATCACTGAACGCTGTTTCTAATGCTGTTCATTTGGGGCTCTCCCTTCAACTGCAGTACCCTCAGGGTTTCCAGAAAAGGAAAGAAATCATTTTTTGGATACAAGCATAAAAATTGACAAGGAAATTTGGATAATTTATTTTTTTCCAACACACCATATTTAAAGAAACTGACTCATAAAATGCAGGCTCACAGTCATATGCTAACAACTAAAGTAGGTAAACCATGTTTTAGTCAGCTAGAAGATTTTTCTAGAGATAATTTTTCTAGAGCTAATTCTCTCCAATTTCCCCCTTATCTGTCTGGGATTCACACAATACAATTCTTGCCCTGCTCAGGTCAGCATCTCGAAACTTTGGGGTGTTTCTCAGCTATTTTTAATACATGACCCCCATAACACTTTCTCATTATATCATCTTTGTATTCCTAGCAATCAATTAGATTTTGTTGTGCTTTATTCATCAAATTTACAATATGAAAGCAATAGGCATAATATATAGGCTTTTTCAAATTATACAGACCTTCCAAGAGATACTGTTATGTCTTTGTAATAATATATAAAAATCACTGTAATTTAAATTCATATCCTTATGTTTAAATGTAAAAGAGCAGTTTTATGTATAGTTTCCCTACTACATACTTGACTAAAAATAACTCCCACTCAATCCTGCTTCCTCCCATGTCAAAATCACTAATCATTTTATATGCCCAGGAGAGAAACTTTTCCTAAGTTTAGTAAGTTTAGTCCACAGTCATTATAGGACTGTTAGACCAGAAACCAAAGATAAGTAGAGGATTTCAAGTAAAGCCAAAAGTAGAAATCTAGGTGTACTGAACTAGAGTGCGATTGCCAGCAAGGTGAACTATTAAGGAGGCTACTCAATAATACTCTGTATTCTCCAGCAAAGCCAGTGTCTCCACAAAGCCTCTTACCATTTCTGGTTGAGTCGTAGCCATTCATCCATTCACCAGATTCTAGTTCATTATAGCTGTCATCATAATCTTCATTGTACAGCTTACCCTCAGGCCCAGGGTCCATAAAACTCAAATGTGTGCAGCAAGATGTTGTCAAAAATTCTGACAATTTACCGGTTTGAATTCTGACATTTAGAAAGTAAACAGAAAACATAAATCAAAGGAAATATTTCTTAAAACAACATAATTCTATAACAAAATAATACGTAGGATGTTCTGTTGGGGCACTACTAATTTTTAGACAATATAAATTTTGAAAAAGTTAAGTTTTACAGCACTTCTATTCATAGTGGTACAATTATGGGTTCATAAGTCATCAGCAAATTCATTTGCCCTCTTCCACTTCCACATACTATGATGCTGTTATTGATGTCAAACATGTGGTGAACAAAAATTTTCATTGGCCATACAAGCTAAGACCGAATGAAGATAAATTAGCACATCATTAAAAAATATTCACAGATCAGGACCTCCCTGGTGGCACAGCGGGTTAAAGCACAGCACTAAGAAGCTAAAGCCACTTCAGCATGAGTTCAATCCCTGCCCTGAAGGTGACCACATGGAGTGGCAGACCTCTCCTGGCCCAACCGCTGCTCCCCTCAGCAGTGTACTTCATCAGTCTACCTGTTCTGCTCCCCACTCTATCTCTGGTGAATCCTCTCACTGCCCCTGCACCTCTGGCCTGTACCCCAGTTCTGTATGCATAAATAAATACATCTTAGGGAAAAATTAATTAAAAAAATATTCACAGATCATTTTGAAAATAATCGGTGGTACTTGAAATTTTAAAAAATTATACATTCTGCAGGGGAGGGGGAGAGAAAGGGATCAAAATTAGGGTGGGAAAAGCACAAGGGACTATGGTGATGGTGCAGGGTGAATTGGTGGTGAAATTCTATGAGGAAAAGAAAGCAAACATAAGAATTAATTAATTAATTAATTAAAATTTGAAAAATATAGAAAATTGTAGATTGCAAGCCAAACTCATTACCTACAAAAACCAACTGCAAAGCCCAAAGGAAATGTAAATAGTGCTAATATTCTAAAGAAGCCAGTTTGAAGGGAACCCAAATCTTAGATTTTAACTTGAATACCGAAATAAATGACAGGAATGGAGCATGACATAATTAGCAAAATAATAATCCATGATATGCTGACACTAAAATTACAAAAGAGGATAAAGGAAAGCTCTTAGCTTCTTTTTAAAAATAGGTTTTTACAGAGTGCTAGAAAAAGAGTCATCATTTAAAAACAGCATTAGTAATACCTTCAAAGGAGGCTAAGATAATTTAAAGAAAACCCGTAATGAGATACTACTTTACACCAGTGAGAATGGCACATACTAAAAATATACAGGAAACAAAATGTTGGTGAGGATGTGGAGAAATTGGAACTCTCCTACACAGCTGGTGGGAATCCAAACTGGTTCAACCACTAAGAAAAGCTATATGGAAGTTCCTCAAACTACTAAAAATGAAGCGTCCATATGATCCAGCAATTCCACTCCTAGGAATCTACCCAAAGGACACAAACATTAAATAAAAAAGACTCCTACACCCCTATGTTTATTGCGGCAGAGTTTACAAAAGATGAGTTATGAAAACAACTCAAATGACCAAAAAGAGATGACTGGATTAAGAAGATGTGGTACATTTACACCATGGAATATTACTCAGCAACCCAAAAAAAGATAAACTCATGCCCTTTGCAGCAAAATGGACGGAGCTGGAAGGATTATTATGCTCAGTGAAATAAGCCAGGAAGTAAAAGAAAAATATAAAATGGTCTCACTTATAGGAGGAATGTAGAGGAACCAAATAAGGGATCAGGGGGAAATAAAGAAGTAACTATAATAAAGTAAGAATACCATCAGGCAACTATGGATCAGAGACCTTCTGTAGGGGAGGAAGGTGAGGGGTGGGGGTGGGAGTGGGAAAAGCACAAGGTACTATGGTGATGGTTCACAGGTGAATTGGTGGGAATTTCATGGGAACATCATACATTGTACAAAAATGAAGGATGATATAATAAATTTATTTTTTAAAAATTTAAAAGCTTTGGGCCCTCCCTGGTGGCACAGCGGGTTAAAGCACAGCACTGAGAATTTAAGGCCGCTTCCGCATGAGTTCGATCCCCGCCTGCCCCGGAGGTGACCACATGGCGTGGCAGACCTCTCCTGACCCGCCCGCTGCTCCCA